AAGGCAGGTAGGAAGTAAGGAAGTAAGGAAGGGAGATAACAAATTGTAGATAGAGAAGCAATGGAAGAAAGAAAAGAAAAAGGAAAGTCAGGAGGAAGTAAGGGAGGAAGGGAGAGGGAGAGTGAAGGACAGAAGGAAGGAGGGAGGGACAGAAGGGAGGAAGAGAGAGAGAGAGAGAGGTTGATATCTGCAGGGAAAGGAGCAAAATATGTGGTTGGAAATTGCGTCCGAGTGAAAAAGATAATTATTATGCAAATCAGCTGACATCATGGAATCAAGAGACACTGAATAACTAATTGCGTCCAGATGAAAAAGATAATTATGCAAATCAGTCGGCATCACGAAATCAAGCGACTCCGACACTGAACGACTCTTTAAAAAAAAAAAAGCCAGCAAACTAAGGAGAGAAAAGGAAGGAATGAAGAAAGGAAGAAAAGAAAAGGGCCCGGAGAGAAAGACGAAGGAAGGAAGGAAGGAGGGAAGGAAGGAAGGAAGGAAGGAGGGAAGGAAGGAAGGAGAAAAGAGGGAGGAAGGGAGAGAGTGAGGGTACCTGAGGGAGGAAGGGAGAGAGTGAGGGTTCCCAAGGGAGGAAGGGAGGGTGATGACAGAAAAGGCAAGGACACGTGTGGTTGGAAAAGTGTGTTCTCACTGCAGGTGAAAGGACAACGCAGGTCATCCAAGACCAACCAAGATCCGACACCGAATAACTAAGGCACAGCAAGGTAAGACGAGGGAAAGCGGAAAAATGAAAAAGAAACGAAGAAGGGGTACTAAGCCGGAATGTCCACACAGTTCTTCTTTGATACTCAAGATGACCACTATGATTCACAATCTGATTCATTGAGTGGCAATTGCAATCGTCCTGCGAGGGTCTAATTTTAGACACTAGGGTCAAACTTTAAACACTAGGGTCAAACCTTAAACACTAGGGTCAAACTTTCAACAGTGGGGTCAAACTTTCTAACACTAGGGTCAAACTTTCACCACCAGAGTCAAACTTTCAACACTAGGGTCAAACTTCCACCACTAGAGTCAGTGCACGTTGCCGTCGTTGCGTTACTCCTCTCGAGGAGTGGAAAGTACACAAAAATGGAGACAAAAGAACAACTATTTTTCTAGAATCATCTAGTCTTAGTCTAGTATAAAGATGAGCAACACGTAAGGCTTGCCAGCACACTCTGCTGTTCCTACTATGGCAGCAGTAGTCACACTGCATGGAAAGGACAACGTACACATGAGCTAGGCTAGATTTTCTGTCAGTGGGTACATGTAGTATGCACCCATAAATGGGTGGTGGAAGTGGCAGTGGACAGACCAGAAATAGAAGGGGAAGATCAACTCACTGACGCTAGAAAATGGAGGGCATGTGAGGTGGGTGTGGAAGTGTTTGGAGAGGATGGGGAGAAAAGAGGGGGTGACGCAGAGTGGTAGCGCGGCAGAGCGGCAGATCGGGAGATCGCCATAATTGATGCGAGCACCTTAAACCCTAATCACGGCAAACCGGTTGCAATGTGAACTTGCAGCCAGGTCCCTTAGCAAACAACCCCCCATGATCCCAATTATGGAGCCTTAACCTGACCCTAAGCTCTGAAGTCTATATACAGGTAAGCTTCCCATAAGGATGCAACTAAAACCCCTCACGACACGTACAAACCCCATACTTGAAACACAGCTCAGGAGGCCTGAAAACCAGGTCCTGGGTACTACTAAAACTCATCCCATTGACGAGCACTAAGCCTCACTGCCCATGGCCCGTGGGGCAAAAGTTGGACCCTTAAACCACCAGTACTTCCTGAAGTCGTGCCCGTAAACAAGCCACGATTTTAGGAAACGTATGGAGCGCCCAAATTCATCCGACTAGAAACGTTTCTACTCTATTTTTTTCCACGGACGATAGCTGGGCCAAGGACTGGCGGTTTAACAGGAGCACTTGAACACGAACTCTGCTAGGGTCCAAGAGAGAAAACCTGACAAGAACGAAAAGGGCCGTCCTAGGTATTTCGAGCACCTGGCCCCTTAGGCGCACCATCCCTTACTAGGCGGACTACCCCTTAGGTGGACTACCCCTTAGGCGGACTACCCTTAGCCTTAGGTGGACTAACCCTTAGGCGGACTACCCTTAGCCTTAGGCGTAGTACCCCTTAGGCGGACTACCCGTAGCCTTAGGCGTAGTACCCCTTAGGCGGACTACCCTTAGGCAGACTACCCTTAATAGGTGCCAACCCCCAATTAGGCGGACTACCCTTTAGGCGCACCACCCCTTAGGCGGACTACCCTTAGGCGGACTACCCCTTAGGCGGACTACCCCTTAGGCGGACTACCCTTAGGCGTACTACCCTTTAGGTGGACTACCCTTAAGCGCCAACCCTCAATGGGACAACGGATTTGACGGATGGTTCTCGTCCAGAGCAATGGACCAGGCACACATGGTGTGTGAAGAAGTGGGAAAATGGAGTTGTATTATTGATTACAATGAGGGGCATAAGAAGGGCACGGTCAGTGTGTTAAGTCCTGGCATGATCGCTTCTCGACGTCCAGGAATCCGCGCTCACTACATTGTTACCTGTGCTAGTGAGGAGAAAGTATGGATGTGAGATGTGAGGGTGTCAGGGAGAGGGAGGGAGGAAGGAAACCTCCGTGGGCCCATGGGGTGCAAGGAGAGATCCTGCAGGTGAGGGTGTGAGGGAAAAGAGGGGGGAGAGGTGGGGGGAGGGGGTGGGGGGTGGGGGAGGAATGAAGAAAGGAAATGTTGCCGTGGTATGGGTATTTCCAGAGGGTGGGGTGGTTCCAAATTTCCAAAAACAAACAGGGTTCATGATCTACTTGGCCGTTGGTTAAGTAAGACGAGGTAAACTAAGTACCTCAACAACCCAAAAAAAATTTAAAAAAATGTTATTGAGACAAGAGAGAAGGAGATGAGTTGCTGTATAGAAGGGGAAATTTTTGATATGCCCCTGCAAGTTCAATTTAGTGGCGGCATGCCCCTCTGACGTCCGACTTACCCTGTTCCGCCCCTCCAACAACGATTGAAGTTTCCAAAAAAACCCTGGCATTGTTCGGGCCCGAAATATGTTCAATATGACCCTACCGGTACCGGTTCCAAATTTCCAGTACTATGCCCCGTAGCTCCCTTCCTAGGGCCACTGCAGGGGAATGGGCCGAATGGCTGCAGCCTGCAAGTGCCACCGACGGCCACAGGGGCATGCTGGAAAGGTCAGAGGCCTCTGGCAGGGGCGCAATGGGGTAAGTCGACCGTCGGAGGGGCACATCGCAAAAAAATCAAAATTTCAGGGCCACATCGAAAATTTTCCCTTCAGAAAAACAACAAAAAAGATCGGTTGCTTGGTAACTAAGGGAGATGAGGAGAGGAGACAGTTTATGGGATTCCCGGAGAAACATAAAGAGGGGAACTGTGGAATCAGCGAGCGAGTGAGAGAGTGAGCGAGTGAGGAAGTAAGAGAGCAGTGAGTGCTCATATCTACCAAGTACGAAGTACAAAGTACAAGGTAGTACAAAGTACAAAGTACGAAGTATAAAAGTAGCACAGAATACAAAGTAAACACAAAGTACCTGCTCAACAATGCATAGTTACTGTATTGACAGCTAAGTACAGAGCAATGAGTGTTTCGGCCGAGGTCGTGATCCGGTATTTGAGGCGTTAAGCAAGCATAAAATTGAGTGAATGTGTGAAAGCAATGCAGCAGAGGAGAGAGTACCGACTCTACCGAGTAAACACGGAGAAGTAAGCGATACAGCAGAGGAGAAAGTACCGAGTAAACACTCGGCACCAAGCAAGTACGCCGTACGCCGTACGGAACTCAATCGAGTACTAAGTACTTAGTACTTTGGACTGGGCACAAAGGACTCGCAGTCGGCAGGATGCATTGGGGGCAATGGCTTCCAGGTAACAGCTTGCGGCCATGACATCTAAAAACTTGAATGTGTGCAAAATGGGCTTCAGGTCTTAACAAACCGGCCAACTTGAAAGAAGTGGAACCTTCACGGAGTGGATGGGAGAACTCACTGATAAGTTCAGAATCTGCGGAGAACACCACATCAGTCCGACAAACGAAGGATCCGTTCTGAAGGAAGAGTGAGTGAAATACCAGAATCAGATTGATTAACCCAGCTCGATTACGTGGTGTGCAAACTGCAGCCGAACCAATCAACAACACGCTACAAATCCTCATTACCTCCCCATGTTGACATCATCATAATCACTGTCTTACTCCTGTCTCTTATACACATCTAGATGTGCCAGCCCCCCCTGTCTAATTCAATTGCTCCTGATATCTCGTGGCTTCCACGCAACAGCTTTCATGCACAGCTCCCCTACATCCAGAAAGTGTGCAATCCTTTTGAACGAGGCAAAGGCTGTGTGGTCCCCCCCCCTAGCTTATACATCTCATGCCTGAGGGCTGACAGCTCTCATGCACGTCTATAATATCATACCCTCAGGCTATGTACTCTGCGCGAAGGGTCTGTGTTGCCTTCCTGAGTCGGAGATCCACATCCTCCGTAAGGGGAGTGACAACTTGAAAGCCACAGTTTCTGTGAAAAAAAGGGACGGTCACCGTCAACTTTGCAGTGTTCGGCCCATCACGCCGCGGAAGGGAGAGAATATGCAGGACAACATGTGGGGAAGTGCGATGCCCCATGTTTTTATCTGTACTAGATGAGAATGAGCTCAGCGCAAGCATGATATGGAGGCGGCGAGCAAATCGCAGTGCCTGCAGTGAGCAGGCTGCCTCCTTTTTCTTCTTCTGAGACTTAACCCTCAAGTGGCATGGACTGCTTGCTCTCTTGCCCCTCCCCGCCTCCCCCCCCCCTCCTTCGAGACTGCCTGTGCTTCATATGTCCTCACGGTCGAGCCTCTACCACCTACCATCCTCCCCTCCTGAATGCTGACTTAATGCACATTCAATCCAGAAAGTCACCCTGGTTGCCACTGCCAGAGCACTGAGAGTGACGCAGGATGCCAAGCGCCAGGCCATATGTCTACGAAATTGTGAAACGCGGAAGGAAAATGATTGAAAGGGAGGGAGGGATGAGGGTGTGGAGGGAGGAAGCTTGCCTCCCACCCAGCAAGCTCGCAAGCTCGCGAGGAAGGAACGGAGAATGGAAGGATGAAAGGACGCAGTGATCGGCAGAGGGAAGAAATGGAGAAAAGATGAAAACTTGACAGGCAGGAAGGCTCACAATTTTTCTCATGACATTGGTCGGTTCGCCCTGCTGGGTTGCAGTCGCAGCAGTCTTATTCAAATTCACTGTCACAGTGACAAAAGCCGGGTAACTCAAATTCACTGTGACAAAAGCCGGGTAATGGCCGCGGTAAATCCTCATGGGATGCTGGGCCCCGTGGCGGCGTGGTGGCCCCAGCACGTGTTGCTCCCCACATATAGATTTTGGAGCATTGTTGTCCCGCCCCTCCCCCCC